TCGATGGCATTACAGGTTCTCTGTGCTGATGACCTGTAGCTAGAGTTTTCCTGCCTTGCCCACAGTCAGGACAAATCTTTGTCACCCGCCAGTCCCATAGCCGCTCAGACCCAACCAAATAAACACAGAGACTTATATTGCATACAAACAGTATGGCCGGGGCAGGCTTCTTGCTAACTGTTCTTATATCTTAAATTAACCCATTTTTATAAATCTATACCTTGCCATGTGGCTGGTGGCTTACCGGCATCTTTATATGCTGCTTCTCCTGCCCGTGGCTGCAGTGTCTCTCCCCCCTTCTTCCTGTTTCCCCAATTCTCCTCTCCTTGTCCCACCTACACTTCCTGTCTGATCACTGGCCATCAGTCTTTTATTTATATAGAGTGATATCCACAGCAATGACCTTTGCCCTGTTTTAGTTTACACTAATGGGGAGATGCACATGTATGAAACTCACACCTCATTCCTTCCTCTCTGTCTCCTGATTTCCAGAAGCTAGTGGATTTTGTTGTAACATTGTGCCATTAAAAATTAACAAATTAGCCGGGCGGTGGTGGCGCACGCCTTTAATCCCAGCACTCGGGAGGCAGAGCCAGGTGGATCTCTGTGAGTTCGAGGCCAGCCTGGACTACCAAGTGAGCTCCAGGAAAGGCGCAAAGCTACACAGAGAAACCCTGTCTCGAAAAACCAAAAAAAAAAAAAAAAAATTAACAAATTAGTATAATCTATATGAATTCTAAAATTTGATATTTAAATAGGACTAGTCATTTGCTCATTTATTTCAATATTTTATTTCCTTCCATAAGGTATTAATCATTCTTTTATAGACAAATAGTGGATATTTGGTCCACTATTGAACAAGATGCAAAAATAATAGGAAATACCCATTTTAAAAAATTTTAAATTTTTCTTTGGGATTACTGTACAATAATGTTTGATATTCTGGTTTTTGTTGAATTATTTTGTCAAGGACATAAGCCAATAATTTGACCAGAATTATAATCAGGAATCAGATTGTTTGCTTTCTAGTGAATGGTTTTATGCATGGCATACATTATTGCAACTGAAATCAATTGATAGAATTTCCTTTGAAGACTGTAAATTTGTTTAACGAATAGATACTATGATACACATCTTACTGTCAGAAAGAATAAAATAGAACCTTGATTTTATGAGAAGATTTCCAAGCACTTTATAACATGGATTAATTTTATCCACAAAGTTGTTATATACTATTTATTTATTCTTTGAGAATTTCATAAATATATGCAATGTATTTTGACCATATTTTCCCCTACCCCTCTTATACAACTCCTCTAGGACACCTCACATTCCCCCTTCCAACTCCATGCTTCTATATCTTTATTTTCAGTAACCTACTGAGTCCAAATAATGTTGCCCATATATGCATGGTTATGGATTCATGAGCTAGAGCATGGACCTCACATCAGAAGAAAATTGACTCTCTTTCTCTCCTAATTACCATTAACTGCCAATAGCTCCTCAGATACCTCTGTTTTAGAATCTTATATATTTTCAATATTTAAAAAATATCCTTTCCTTAATGTTTATGTATATAGATGGTTACTCTATATATTCCTTTGTATGCCATTCTTAAATGCATTTCTTTAATTTTCACTAATTTCTGTCTTTTCAGATTCACATTAAGTAGTATAAGAATATATAATCTTACTAATGTTTTTTCTATTTTCTAAGAAAACATAGATATCAATGAGAAATCATAATTACTTACTCAAATATTACTGTAAAGCAAAGTTATCAATACATGTAAAGCTATATAATTAAAACAAAGTAATTTTAGTAACTGCATTCATATTTAAACTATTTCTTTTATAAACTAGAACTTCTAATTTGATTTCTATAAACTAATTGTATTTCAATAGTATACAAAATCCAGTAAACTAAGAAAAATGGAGCTCCAAAAATATTTTCTCCTTGAATGTTTTGTTTAGCACCTTTTCCTGTTTCCACATTCATCATATCACTTATGATAAAGCATTATTTTATCAATACTTCCATCTCACTAGAGATTAATGAGTTTACAAAAAAAGGAAGCCTCATTTTCCCCTCATATTCCCTACTAAAGAGCATTTGTTTTGTTTTCAGAGTTTCCTTTTATAAACCCTGAACTGAATGTTGATAAGAGCATCCAGTTCTCTATCCTTTCTAAGACCTGATGTCTGACTAATTACATCGAAGAGAATCAGCAAAACCAAATAACCTTGATTATACTGAATAACAGATGAATGATTAAGAGCTAAGACAAGGCATTAATTAACTATCTAATTGCCACATAATTCCAGCTGATTATTCTATTTATTCCTCCCTTGTTTTCATAATGATTTCCTCTGTGAAATAAAAATTATACAAGAATTGTTGGCAAAGGTCATAGACAGAAGCACTGGGAGAAAGCCAGGGGCTACCTGGACTTCTTTGTCAATGCACTGGGAAATTTCTTTTATCTGCAGCTAAAGTTGCAGCATTTGTAAAGATAAGACTCCTTTTCTTCCCCTGGGAAAAAAATCACCCTACAGCATCTGATTGCCTCTTGATGTCAGGTGACATTGCTCCAAAGGCAATGACACATCTCTCTCATAAAAACACTAAGATTAAAACCAAACAACTGTCCTGTGGTAAATGCAAAATCAAAGTTATATTGCTTTCTCAAGTCTACAGTGGGTTTTTGATGAAATGAGGCAGCTTTGATACTCCTGCTTGAATTCATTTTTATATTGATTATATAATGGTAGAAAAAAAACTTCAACTATATAAAAAAACTGTAATCAATATGCCCTATGAATTTGATTAAAAGAACATATCACATATATTTAAATATCTATGTAGTTTTGAGTATATAGTCATCCTTCTTTATCTGAGGGCCATTACTGCTTAGACCCAAAAACAATATAAAAATTCGTATATTCTCAAATCACTAAGATAAAATGTTGCTGTCTACATTTCTATACATTAAATTATCCCTAGATTACTTATAATTGAGTTGATATGCATGATATTAAATAATTTCTCCACCATGTTGCTTAGGAAATAAAGACAAGAAAGAACTAATGTGAAAATATTCAGTACAAATGAAATTTTTAAAATATTTTTTTATCTAGGATTGGCTTACAAATGAAGAACCCATAGTAAGACTGATTACTTACACACAGGTGTGTGTGTGTGTGTGTGTGTGTGTGTGTGTGTGTGGTCACAAGACAGAACAAATGTAATAAATTGTTTTAATTTTGAGCTTTGGCCATGCTGACACAAAAATAGACTAGCTTGGAATTGTGTATATATAAGAGTTGTGATTTTTTTCTTTCCTTAAGCATACCTTTATATGTGTCCATACAGGATTGCTTAAATAAAGGGTTTACTTGTAAACTGTGACGAAGTTATAAAGGCTAAAACTGTGCCACATGCTTGTAAGAAACAGTCTTTTTCCTTTTACTCAATGTATGTTTTCTCTTTACTTATTATTTTAGTTGTACAAACTGATGAGATGCTGTGTTGTGTTAGTCAATTATTTGTCACTATAATGAAGCAACCTAGGGAAGGAAAGATTTACTTTGGTTCCCAGTTTTAAAGATATCAGTCAATCACAGTGGAAAGGCATGGAAAAACAGACAATCTCACATTATGGCATCCAGAAGGAACAAAGAGAAAATGTCTACTCCAAATGTACTTCTCTTTGAACTTCATTCAAACCCCCTGCCTATTGCAAGTTGAGGGTATACTCAGAGTGAGTAGGCTCCCTTCAATTAATCCTCTTTGGAAACACAGAAATGCATCTTATCCATGTCTTAGGCACCTCTATACCCAATTATGTTGATAATCAACATAATTGATTGATCAACATCATTTTCTAGGAATATTTGATACTTTTAAATAAAGTGAAATAATTCAGTGTATTTAGCACTTGTGTCTCTTTGAACCTTGCAGAAAATGTGATTAACATGTAATAATTGCTCATATTCACAGGGTACAATGTGGTATTTTAATAGATGTTTGCATGTTAAATCAGAGTAATTAGTGAGAAACCATGTTTTCTTTGTTCATCCATGTCACATCTGGATGTGACACTGGAATGAAAGGCACATTGTACATATTTTAAAACCTAAGTATTAATATTTATTGAATACTCATATTAGCATTTAAAGTATTTAGTTTTGTGTGTATATGTACATTCTTCAATACATAAGTACAACTGCTCAGTTTGTATGTTACTAATACGTAGTTCTAATAGTTCTTTAAGCAACACTGTAATTTATGCAGTGTGAACAGACATTCTGGAATATACTACTCAGGTTAAAATCCCTCTGTGTTTTTACCACCTGTGTGGCATGGGACAAGTCGTATGACCCTTTTAACACCTAGCCGACTTGGAAGTCACCTTTGAGTTCTGTTGCCGATTTGTTGTGTCCTCTAGCTCCCACTCCTAACTATTCCCCCAGCTTTCTGTATCCACTCACTCATCTCAGTGTAGGGAAAGGAAGGCTTAGGAATTTCTATTTTTGTATGCTGTACTTTAAACAGTTAAACTTACTCAAAGAATTATAACCCACAAAATTCATCGGCATGAAAGTACTTGTCAATTTGGATGTGTAAAATCCCCCAGCAGCTGCACTGTGAGAAACAGGGACAGCTGTATTACATATGAACTCCTGCTTTTGGTGTCTTGGCTAATTGCCAATTCCTTTTATTTTTGAATGCTTCTCTTTGTGTGGTTTCCAATGACTGTCCCTTTTCTCTCACACTCTCTGTTCCTCTTTTCTGAAATTCTTGGTTGTAACCTCATTCGGTACCTTCCACAAACATCCCAGCATTGACTCATTGACTAAGCCTTGAAGTTTAAAGACAAGTGAGGTTGTTAAATACAAGTGAAGTCAGCGTTAATATTTGGCATCAGGAATCTGTGCACAATATTTAAAAGATATATTTCTATTGCTATTCAGGAATAAGGACCACATCCTACAAAGTAATCTTTTAAATATAGCTGTATTTTTGTTGAAAAGAAATTATAACACATAGTAGCAACCTTCATGCTTCAGCGGGTATGTTTTTAGCTGCTACTTCAATATCAAACCACAGACAATCTGAATTAAAGAAATTAAGGTGATTTTGCCACTTCTTCACTAGCATCATGATGAGAAATAATCCACATGGTTCTCCACATGGTTCTCCACATAGTTCTCCTCCACATGGTTCTCCTCCACATGGTTCTTCTCCACATGGTTCTCCTCCACATGGTTCTCCACATGGTTCTCCCCATGGTTTTCCACATGGTTCTCCACATGGTTCTCCACATGGTTCTCCACATGGATACAGTTCACCTCTGCATTGTCATTTGCTGGCAGTGACAAACTATTACATGTCTGCAGCTTTGATTCTCTGAAGATGGAAGACCATTTCTTCTTCTCTGCTGAAACAATGTAAAATGTGTTCATATAATAAGTAAAACTGTGTATAAAATGCTCATTCTAAATGACCAAAGTCATTTCAAGTAACTAATGTGAGAGTTTAAATGCCTTCAAAATTAACTAATCAACCTAGGAAGTTATTACTCCCTCAGAAACTCATGGTTAATAAAAGAGACCTGAGGATCTAGATTCAGACCCTCGGACTCCTGTTTTCATGGTGCTCTTCACTGCATATCAGGTAGATAACATGGATGAAGTAACTGCTTTGTATTAGTAGGAAGCTTTCTCAGATGAAATTTGCTTGAACTTGTTTATGTTAGAACTGGAATTTTCATACTTTATCTTCCAACCATCGTTAGATCGGTATTGCATAATTGACTGCCACTTCCTGACTTCATTCTTTACACAGAATCTAAGTTGTTCCTTTCTCCAGGGGTTTTCAGTAGGGCCTTTTATAGCTTGGAGACTGAAAATGGAAAGATGGCTCAGAAGGGCCAGAATTGCTCAACAGAATGTCTTTTAGGTCACAATTCTAACAATGACTATGTTCCCCTTTTTAAAAAAATGTCTTGTTCTATTTCACATATAAATAGAGGGTATATTTTATACTAAACATCTATGTTTGAAAATGCAGTCTCTATTTAAACTGCCTTCAATAAAGTAGTAAAGCACTGAGTGTCTTAAATAAAATGTTATCTTCCCTTCATATATATGTGTATATACATATTTATATATTTATATATGAGAGATACATAAATACACATATACATGCATGCACACACACACACACACACACACATATATATACATATATATATATATATATATGTATATATATATCAAAAATCCTGACATTCATCTGTATTATAGTCTATCTTTCCCGTTTCATGTGTATTCCCACAGGTAATAACTGATTTATATACTTCCATTGCAAAGAAATATTTCACTATGTGCATAATTTTTCTTTTGTAGTACAGCTACGTTGAGGTAACTCACGTATCAAGAAATTAATGCTTTTAAGATATGTAATTAGGTAGATTCAGGTGTATCCATTGAGTTGTACAATCATTACAATTGAGTTGAGCACACTTTCACCACCCACAGAAGAAATTACATTTCAATCAACAATCTCTCCCCAACTCTTGCCTCTACACCAGCTCCTATAAACCACTACTACAATTTCTGTCTGATGGTTTCTTTGGTCCTAGGTGTTTTGTGTAACTGAATTATTGTTATGTGATCTTTTGTTTCTAAGTTCTCTCATGTATCCTAAGTATAGCAAGGCTTGTCCATCTTGCAGATCCTTCATTACTTGTAACAACTTGAAGGTGAAGTGTTTCCCACAGAGTGATGGTCTGAGTGCTTAGCTCCCATCTGGTAGTGCCAGTTTGGAAATTCTGAAATGCTTAGGAGGATAAGTCCAGCTAGTGGAAGTAGGTTACGAGAAGGACTATGAAGATTATAGACTGACCATTGGTTTCAATATAGCTCTTTCCTTGCTGACCTGATAGAACATGAACATCCCCCAATACATAGTCCTACCACTATGAACTGAGCTTCTCCACCCTGTGTTTCCTGCCAGGATGGATTGAAACCATGAGTAAAAATCATTTTCTCCCTTTGCTTGTTTCTTTCTGACCTCTAGTCACAGTAACACAAAAGTAACTAATACAGTACTGTATTCTTATTTACTGCTGAATAATATTCCATTGTTTGGTTATAAAAAAAATTTATCAACTTAGTTAACCACTAAGGAGCATTTAACTTATTTATTTCTTTTTTCTTTCCAATAACAAATAATGTAGCTTAGAAACTGCTTAAGATTTTGTAAGAGCGTGTTTTTATTTCTCCTATATATTCCCAGGAATATAACAAAACAGTTTTTTAATTTCATATATAATATCATCTGTGCTCAAATGATGGGTGGTGCTTTGTTTGTGGTACTTTAACTAGGCAGAGATGTGTTACATTTGTTTATGCTGTACTTGTGTAACTATTAAAGATGTTTTACAGTTGTTGATGCTTCATTTGTTTAACAATGTAAAGATGTGTTGCTTTGCCTGCCTAAGGCACCTGATTGGTCTAAGAAAAAGCTGAACATTCGATAGCTTGGCAGTAGAGGGATAAGCCAGGCTGTCAGGCAGAGAGAAAAAGGAGGAGGAGGAATCTAGGTTCCAGAAGAGAGAGAGAATGAGGGAGGAGAGAGAGCAACCAGGGGCCACCCAGCCAGACATGGTGGAAGTAGGACATACAGAGTAAAAGGAAGGTTGAAAGCCCTGAGGTAAAATGTAGGTGAAGAAACACAGGATGGATTAAGTTATAAGAGCTACTCAGACAAGCATAAGATAAGGCCAGGCATTCATAACTAATAACAAGTCTCTGTGTCATGACTGGGGGGCTGGCAGTCAAGAAAGCCTGCTTCAGTGTTTCACTTAGAGTCAGAGCAGTCTGGTACAGCAAGCTTCCACAAGAGAGAGCCCATGAATAAATTTGATGTTGGTGAAGACCACTATACCCCTTCCTCTATCTATTTAACATCACAGAGATGCAAATATTAGAGATACACCTGTGAGGCACTTACCATACTTGTTCTAGCTTGGGTGAATTTTTGTGGTAACCTCCATCATCTCATTAATGGCTAAGGCTGATATCAAATCACCTTGAATATCTTTACCAACTATGGCCTCAGGTTTTCTCTCCACACGTCTTTGCTGCCTTTTCTATTCTTTTATTTTCTTTTTTGCCATCAACCCATGTTTCCATTAAATAAGTTTTTGAAAATATATAAACAAATTAAATATAGAAGCTCCTCAAAAATCTAATAATGTAACTGCTATATGATCTGATATAACCCTCCTGGGAATATATTACAAAGAATTCAAGGCATGGCTAGGTTTCTAACTCAGGGGTAGAAAGAATGTCTACCATGTGCTGGATTTTATTTCCAAAGTCAGTGGACTCTCAAACTTCCATTGACTTGGATTTTCTCACTCTTACTTTTCACGCTTGAGTGTATATTCTACTTATTGGCAAAGGGTAAATTCCATAATAAAATAGTATTTTAAGAAATAGATGATAAAAATAATGAAATTGTTTTTGTGTCTTTTTTTGGTAGCTTATTTTCATTATTGTGTTAAGTAGCAAAGTTTAGAATTTCATAGACATATGTTTAGAACTTCAATATTCTGAAATAGAAATACAATTTGAATATTAATAATAGAAATTATGCTGGGATCTGTCATTAAATTACCAAAAAATACAATTCACTTCTCTTTTTAAGTATTGGAACTATTTTAAAATTGTGTGTGTGTGTGTGTGTGTGTGTGTGTGTGTGTGTGTGTGTGTGTGTGTATGCTCACACGCACTCATGCATGCATGGTGAGGTATAACTGCAGGTGCACACAAATCACATTCAACATGTGGTCAGTGTGCAACATTGAAGAGTCCACTCTCCCTCCCACTGTGGGTTCTTGGGACCAAGCTAAAGTTATCGGGCTAGTGTCAGGCAAGTTACCATCTGAGTCATCTCTCTAGCTCAAGTATTGGAATTCTTTAAGAAAACAAAACCCTGAATTTCAAAGCTGAGTGGATTCTCAGGGTTCAAGCCACAATATAATACCTACAACACAATGTGTAAGTCACAGATGCTGCCCTGCAAGATGTCCACTCAGCTACTAAGAGGTCTCAGTGAGTAAATAGGGTTCTTTGGGGAGGTGGAGGGATGTATATAGGGAAGAAGGAGAGATGTGGTTAAAATAACAATATCTAGAAAAGCCTCAGGGAATCAGACTATAAATTATTTTCTAAAAATATCTGTATGTAATTGTACAGTTTTAGTGAAATTTTCTCATTTGGGCTAATGGTGATTCCTCCAGGAGCCAAACACCACCTAACAAAACTATTAGAAGACATGGGAAGCCTTTTTTTTTTGAGTTGTTGGCTGGGCTGTCCAATAGACTCCCCAAATACACTTCCAGTCACTGTTGCCCTTGGTTACCGTCACCAAATGTGGAAGTTAAGTCCCTGTTGCCATGTACTTCAGACACAGGGCCCAGAGGCCACTGAACTGGAACTAACCTGAATGCTTCCACTCTGAAAACTAGTTTTCATGGTACCAGAAGGTGTGATACAAGCTTCCAAATGAGGAAGGCAACCTATAATCCCACCAAACTGTGACATTTGTGAACCATATCAATGTCCACCATGGCACAATAATATTAAGGATGCAGTAGTAGTGCTCATATCTTGGCAGTAACAGCTCTCTAATTGGATTCAGGACTTGTTCAACAAGAGGGAGACCATGCTTGAAAACCTAGATAACAACTCCGTGCTAGGAAAGTCATGGTTACTGGAGGAGAATCTACAGCAATAATTTACAAAACCAGCATAATCCCTCACAATTTACAAACATGTGTCCTCAGATAACCCATAGATAGATAAGTATAGTCTTTAACACTCATCAAGGAAACTTCTCCACAACCATCAAAATGCAGCTGTGGAGCTCAGTCCCAACGAATGTGTCTATAAAACACTTCTTCACCTAGTGCTTGAGGGACACTGTGGAAAAGGCAGAAAGAAAGATTGTAAAGAGCCAAAGGATCGGGTAATTTGATGTGAAATTGTGTCTCCTAGCAATGTCAGAAGTTGTTCCCATAAAGTCTCACCAACATGACTGCTTCACAGTGAGCTGAACAAGAACACCACCAATGGACATGCTAAAGTGGACCTGGAAAAGCCTACAAGGCTTCAACCTTACACAAAGATCTATAGGCAAATGAGGAAAACTGGGAGTGAGCAAGGTGGTCTTATCCAAGGAAGATCATACTAGCTGATTTTCAATATCAAATGGTTAGTCCTAAAAACAAAAAAATTTACATACAAGTAACTTTATACAGACTGAACAGGTTATATTTAGGAATACACACTTACATGCATACACACACACATACACACACACACACACACACATACATACGCATGCATGCATGCGTGCAAGATTAATTAATGAAGAAAAAAAAAGGAGACCATAAATTTAAAGAAAGAATGGGAAGGAGTATATAGCAGAGTTTTGAGGGTGGAAAGTTGGTGGAGAAATTTTGTAACTGTAATATAAAAGAAAAAATTCTCAGTTTTATTTTATTGTAATATCTTCTTTCAGACACATTCTTAAACTTTACATGGAAAATCTATTTTCTTCATATATTGAGAAGTACCTAAATTTTAAATAAAAGAGAATGCTTGCCAAATATTTTCTTGCAAGTTGTATAAGAGAGTGCTATTTATTTCAAACGGAAGATTGTTCAAAATTACAGCACATAAAAAATGATGTCTCCCTCAAATCCCTCCCCTCAGGCCTCAGCGAACTTTGCAGGAAGAGGAGAAGGAAAGAGCATGAGAGCCAGAAGGAATGGAGGACACCAAGGAATCAAGGCCTTCTAAACACAGCACAGCCTATGTGCATATGAACTCAGAGGCTGTGGCAGCATGAACAGGGCCTTCATGGGTCTGCACCAGATGTGGTCCTAGAGCTGAAAGGAGAAGTAGACACATGCCCCCATTCCTAACTCAGAAGCAACTCCAATTTATAGTCATTTGCAAATAAAATTTTTCTGGTCTTCAAGGGAGTCTCACTGGGGAAACAAATCACTCTTAAGGGTAGGCCCCACACCCAGAAGTAGATGGCCAAAATAAATGAATCCAATGGCATCTTTAGAGGTTCTTTGTCTTACAATGTTAAGTTAGGACATTTTTGATTATTTGTCTTGTTTCTTTTCCTACCACATGGGTCATTTGTGTATATATTACAACTTCCAGTTTTGAATCCCTGAGTGTGCAAACACATATATGTCTTTGTATCTATATGTGTTTCTTTGTCTTTTGTCTTTGGCTCTTTTTCTTGTTTGGTCATTTTGGCCCATTCCACTTGGGGTTTTTTTGTCTGTTTGTTTTATCTTATTGTATTTAATGCTATTTTATTATTATGTCTTAGATGCCTGTTTATTTTCTAAGGAGAGAAAGGATGTGGATCTAGAAGGAGAAGAGGGAAGGAATGGAGAGGAGTAGGGGGAGGGAAAATCATAATCAAAATATATAGTATGAAAGGTGATTATTTTCAATAAGAGAAAAAGTACAGCTCATGTAATTGTTTTCATTGATACTATTCAAATAATTCCTGGTGATGTAACATATCTGAGCACATGCATCGATTAAGGCCATTCTTCATTCTAGGGTGTCATAATAGAACTCGAAGAAGAAACAAGTTTCTATGAGGAGAGGACATTGTTAAAATTTAAAATGGGACAACAGAAGGCAAGCAACATATACAGATATTTTATAGTCTGTGAATAAAGGAACAGTTAGTAAAATCATGACTTAAAACCACACAAAAGGAAAATCATAAGAGGTAGATCACCACAGCAAATAGTTCACAGAAAGTCTCAGACTTAACAGCCACCAGCTTTTCTCATAACTCAGAATTAGTGCTGAAGTTAAAATATTAACTGTACATGAAGCCCAGTTTTGAGACACAATATTCCAGCCATTTGAAAAAATGAGCTTGAGTTGAGTGAAGTCATGATAACAATTTTATTTTATTTTATTTTATTTATTTATTTATTTATTTTGGTTTTTCGAGACAGGGTTTCTCTGCATAGCTTTGCGCCTTTCCTGGAGCTCACTTGGTAGCCCAGGCTGGCCTCGAACTCACAGAGATCCGCCTGCCTCTGCCTCCCGAGTGCTGGGATTAAAGGCGTGTGCCACATGATAACAATTTTAAAATGAGCTTGAGAAAATGGGGAAATGCGCTTGTGTCCTGCTATTACCTACCAGGGTTGGCATCAACTAACGGCATTCTTACTTCATTTTGATCTGGTCCTGAGAGTAAAATCTATCACCACATCCTGCTGAAGATGATTGATTGATCTATAAAGTGCTGATTGGCCAGTAGCCAGGCAGGAAGTATAGGCAGGACAAGGAGAGAGGAGAATTCTGGGAAGTGGAAGGCTGAGGCAGAGAGACACTGACAACCACCACAATGAGAAGCAGATGTTAAGATACCAGTAAGCCAGGAGCTATGTGGCAACTTATAGATTAAGAGAAATGGGTTAATTTAAGATATAAGAACAGTTAGCAAGAAGCCTGCCATGGCCATACAGTTTATAAGTAATATAAGTCTCTGTATGTTTACTTGGTTGGGTCTGAGTAGCTGCGGGACTGGAGGGTGAGAGAGATTTATCATGACCTTGGGCCAGGCAGGACCATGAAAACTCACCTACAATACCCCCTGCTGCTCCTAGACACATTGGCTCAAGCTCATGGGATAGTGTCATTTTGGGGACTTGTAGGGAGCCGCCATTCTAAGATGGCGTTGACTTCCTGACAGCCCAGCTGTAAACAACTCCATAATTGGCTATGCTTCTAGGACTACGTGTCCTAAGGTCCGCGCATGCGAGAGTATGGTAATTGACTCCATGTCCTCAGCCTATCCCGTGGCTCCCCGTGCTCGCATTCTGGCGCGATCAAATCACGGACTGACCCATTTGCTTGAATCCTCATATAAGCAGCTGCATTTCAGTCCTCAGGGCCCCTCACCTCCAGCTCTCCCTTAATCAAGAGGCGCTCCAATAAAGTGTGATCTGAGAAGAATCCTCGAGTGGTGGTCGTTCTTCCTCGCTGGCCGAGGAGCTCGCCGCAGGGACTAAATATGTTCAGACTACATAAGATATAACATCAATATAAAAATGATTGTGGCCATTGATACTTTAACTTACCTGTAAAAACATATTACAGGTATATGAATGACTCCCATAAAACTTTGTTTTTATATAATAATATACTTTGAAAATTAAAAAATGCCCTGAGTATAAAACCCATTAGATCTGAGATCACTTTAATAATGCACACTGCTAACTGAAAGAAACAATAATTACAGTGATTTTAATGTTCCTGTTCTACATCTCAAGGATTTCTATAGATAAGTACTATACAAGTCTACTGATGTATTTATATTTTCATAGTTTTGAGGAACACATACTTCTTTCCTAAGATGTTTATAATAAAAATTTTTGTTAATACTCATTGTATATGTTTAAAAAACTTAAAAAAATATGAACAAGGTTACATTCCATCAAATTATTTCACATATATTGAATACTGGTGTGCCAAACATCTCAACAGTGACAGTGACAATTAATCCAAATGGGCAATTTAATTAAAAATGTTTTTAATTAAACAATGAAAAAAGAGTTAAAACTATAAAACTCAGAGGAAATTTGAAAACACATGAAAAATAAAGGGCACTGGTAAATTAAGATGGGAAGTTTATCTAATCTCCCAGTGTATATGATTTATATTGCATTATTACAGCTCTTCTCCTTTTATATTTAATAAGTATAAAGAAAGTATATCATTGCATTCACTATTTTACCAGGGAGATAGTCCTAATCCCTTTCCCCAAGCAGGCTATCTATGTGGGGCCTGGACCACTACACCAGGTTAACAGAGTCTAACTTCATTGGTCTCTCTAAAGCCTGGAGCAACAGCTTTATAAAGGAGAAGCCCAGCAGCATTCATTGCACTGGGTCTGTGCTTCTTCAAAAAGCAAGCATTCAGGGTTGTGACAAGTTGGCAAAGACAAATTGGCTGGAATTAGCAGTATTGTGTGCAGCTGGCTTCTTGCATGGTTTCTAACAACACATCCACCAGAACTGATTATGTCAAAACAGATTTCTCTAAGTTAGAGCCCTGTAGTCAGCACTTCCTAGCAGATAACCCGATCAAAATGTGCCTGTGTAAGAAATCTGTAGCAGCCCCTGAATGCTGAAGGGTGGCTTTGAGAGGCCCAGTGTCTTAGTGAGACTGTTGAACATGTTGAAATCTCCATCTCTTTAGTCAGATCTGGACAAATTGCTTTTCCTTTCTCCCTCCCTCCCTCCC